CTTTCTAGCTTTTCTCGTTCCCGAGTTAGCAATTTTCTCGCCAAAACTTCTACGTGCCCATACGCGAAGTCCAGACATGCGTGAGAGTTGACACAGCGGTCCTGGGGTAGTACTTGGCTGGGGAACGTACTGGCAAAATTTCAGCAACTGTTAAAACACGGCTCGGCTCGTCTCGTCTCGTACACGATCTGCGAAAAATTTTTTTTCCGGAAGACAGGCAAGGTTGCCCCACGGCGAATGGTGGTAGTTTAAATGTGGTGCCAGAGTAAGTTAAAAAAAGTAGGAGAGGAGGGTTTTTATGGCTTTTGGGGTCACGTATATGTGTAACTTGTCAGGGTAGGCGCATTTTACAGCCCCTTGAGATCATCTATATACCTCTTACCCTGGCTACGCTCACAATCTTCCCGTATGTAAGCCCAGTTTTTGAGCACAAAACTTAGTTTCTCCAGTCCACCCGGAATGAGTGGCGGAGCCGAGTTTGGTCGCCTACTGCGCTCAGTTTTCACTACCAGGGAGAAGGGGGAATGGGAAAATCTGATGCTTAGAAAGAGAGAGAGGGGAGGAGAAGACGTCTGTACATCCACTAACCGCCGCTCACCCCTTCACGCACCCTCACAATCACGGCTGCGTCTCCCCTCTACCACCCCTCTCTCCTTCCCACCAGCCAGGCCATGCAGCCGCTGCGGCCTGGGTAACGTTGCCCTGCTTCTCTGGCAGGCTGCCAAACGATCCCGGTGAGCAACGCCACGAAACACCGTTGCCAGAGATGACAGAAGGCTTCCTAAGCACCAACGACCACCGGTCGAGCCGAGCCGAGTTCTAGTAGTCGCCCAAAATTTCAGCTTCAAAGCTTGCGTGGTCGGCGAGTTGAAATACCCGAACAGACTAACACACACACACACACACACACACACACACACACACACACGAACACTGACAGCGTCGTTGTAATATGCGTTTTTGCTCCCTGTTGCAGCGCTTTAGTGCTGCACAGCAAAAACGCATAATCAGAGAGCGCGTTTGGCAGCGAACGACCGCCCTCACCCGAATATATAACGAACATTGATTTTACTTGCATACTTGAATTTTTTAACGTAAAACCGCTCTAGCAATATTTCCATTTGTTGTTGAACTAGAAATTTGCTTTTTTTCAAGAAACGAGCACTTGCCGAAAAAACGATCGGGCTTCATGCACAAAAGTGGTAATCATGTACCTGGAAGTTCATGCGGCCCTATAATGCATCGCTTTCAATCCAATCGACGCCCTTTCCCCTGCGTGTCGGAAGAGACCAGAGCGGGGCAAGGATCATTCCTGCTATTAGTGATTTGCGACTTTAGTGGAAAAACGCATGGCTGCACTGGCAAGCCTTCTGCGTTCCGGCCTGGGTTTTTGTTATCGGATCGTACAGGACGGTCAACGGTCATCCCTTTGATATCGGATCGTACAGGACGGTCTACGGTCATCACTAAGCAAATAATGCATACAAGCCGACAGGTTGATTATTTAAGGGGATGTCTGAACCACCAATTACTAC